CACAGCCACAAAGAAGCAGCAATCATCCATCATCCGGCTAGTCAAACAGAACAAAGATTTGAAAGTGGAAATAATTCATGGCTTTAGCATTACTCATTTAAGTTCTATGTTTTTTATAGACTTTTAGTGGAGCAATAGTTTTGTTTTGGAATTTAAACTAAATGTTGGAATTTTAGAATAGGAATGAAACAGTTTTCTAAATCTCAAAGATTTTTACAGACACTCAAAGAAACTTTTCATATAATTTCATTATTTTAGCCTCTAATAAGCTTTCTATGGAGCTGATGTATTTTCAGGTGTACTCTGACTGGAAAATCTCCACCAGCTAAAAAGAAGATTTCTTCTGATTTATTAGAATTAAGACTTTAAGAACTGTTTGCATGATACTTCTGAAGTATTTTTGTTGGGGTTTTTTTGTTTGTTTTTTTGTTTATTCCATGTAATGTTGGCAAACCTATTATCTTAAAAATACAAGTCAAGATCCAAAACTTTTGGCAAAAGGGACTTAAACTCCTCTTGTGTTTTTCTCTGGGGGCTGAACTTTTATATTTCCCATATGAGTAGGAGGGTTCCTAAGCTTCCCCTTCTCCCTTAGCAGAAGTTCCTCAGCCAAATAAAAGAGATCAATAAGAAAAAAAACCTGCTACATGTGATGTTATTTATAACCAGTATATATATAATCAATCACTTGGGGTTTTGAGGTAAATACATTGAAAGTTTCCTCTGCAGAATACATTGAGAATGTATGTTTTCTGCAGGAGTTTGGAGGATTTTGGATTTTGAACTTTTCTTAAGGTGTTCCTTCCTATCACAACAAATTTCCATTTCTAGTGGGCTACCAGTGTCATGTGTTTGCCTGGAGGTTTTAGTCAAGGTTAAGTGAGGGAGTATCTGATGTGCCGTGAAAAACCTTTGGGGGTCTGAGGATGAAAAACAGCCATGACAAAAGTGTGTCAGTGCCCTAAATATCAGAACAACAGACCTCTCCAGATAGGGCTTGAAGTAGTAGAAGAAAAGAACCCTTTTCCCCTCATCCTGGCTTTAAAACTGTTCTGTAATAGCTAAGCTGAATAACTATTTTACATCCTGAGTTACCTGGAGTGTATGGAAACTGTTGAGTCATGGCCTGAACCACTGATTGATCACCTGAGGAAAAGACTGAGTCAGTCATAGGAAAATAGGTGAAGGCAATTCACCTACGTGACTGGAAGTGATGGAGTCTGGCTGCACCTGTCTTAGATCCCATTTAAGGGATGACTGCCACTGGGGAAGGATCTCTTTTTGGAGGTCCCTCTTCTGTGGAGTCTTTCCTGTGAACTCTGGATACAGGTGAGTGTTTCTTCTCTGTTTCTTTTCCCATTTTCACCATGATAATATTTCCAGCTGTAATACCAACTGTAACACTGGAGGTAAATGTTGTAATCAAAATAAACTCCTATTCCCTTATCTTCATTCACTCTTTTATATAGTAATATTACAGACCATTAATCATCGTTTTACTAGATTTATTTTTAATTTAGAGTGTATAAACCTCTGCTGTTTGTAACAGGGATCACAATGATGGGATCTATTTCACACAAGTGCAGTTGAGCTGCTGCAGCTATGCGCTGTTGTAGCTTTCTTGCATGCAGTGTATTGATCAGCTGTGAGTGGGAGTCTTGTGAGTAACTCTGCATGTAAAGCTGTGATCTTAACGAATGCACTTTACATGCTGTCTGAGTTCAACTTCTAGGTACAAACGCATAGCGGGAAAGTTTCTCATCTCCCTGGAAAGCTCCCATCCGCACCAGGGCGCTCTGTAATCTGTTCTGTTTTCTGGTTCTGAGTTGTAACAGAAGTCTTGGTGGGCGTTTTGTCTTAAGAGCACCCACGTAGGAGCAGATACAAAAGCATATCCACTAAATTATGGAGCTAAGGTATACAGAGTCTTATAATGCACCTTTATTGTTCTTTTTAATATATGGCTGAAGATTCCAAACAGCAAATATTTTAAGTTCTGAAGGTATTCCCCCTTAAGAAACTATATCCTACTACAAGTTTTTCTAGGGCGAGCATACATTATTGTCACTTGTGTTGATGTGTGGCTGAAGCTTCTAAATCACCAAGCAAGGACTTTAAGGTTTCTTTTTCTTTACTTTTTTCTCCTTTAAGTTTCATTAGCATCTTAAAATCTCAGCAATTCTTATTATGGCTAGATGGCTTACGATTGTGTGGAAAAAAATATTTGCTGAAACAGTGCCTTTATTCTTCACAAAGGAGACCTGAATTCGTGAATTATGGACAGGTGCTACCACAAAGTCACTCTCATTTTTTTGGAAATTGAATTCCATCTCCTGAGAGTGAATGTGAATGTTTGCATTCCCTTTTAGTTCAGGAGAGGGACTTAACAATCAAGCTGTTGGAATTCCAGGATGCCCCATCTTTCCTGTCAGCTTCTTTTTCTATTCAATTATTATACAAACTTATAGCAATTGATGGTTCTAGCTATTACGCTTCTCACAATGAGTAGAACATTGGGGCTGGATCCCTGCAGATAAAATGGCAGCTGAATCAAAATCTTCCACGTGCTACCTAAGTTCCCTCACCCTGAATGTCTAGCTGAAAAGTAAGTGGAATTCCTGGCAAGGAGATTAGTGCCCTTTGATTTTTGTGAATACTCCTACTTTTTGGCAGATTCAGCTTCAGGAATACCAAACAAAACTTTTTAATGTAAGTCTTTTGGACCTGATACCATGATATCCTTGTAGCCTGGCTGGGGTGAAAGAAAAATACTGATGTCTCTCCTTTGTCACTAAGACAGCAGAGCAAAGCCTTGCACATGATGCTGGTCTAAGAAAGACTAGTTCATGTAGGTCTTGCAGCTACTGAAGGTGAGTGAAAGGATTGCCTGGAAACTGCACATAAAATATAACATAAAAGAGAATAAAATAGCAGTGGCTCACTACTGAATGTGGGATTCTGTCTTCTGCAAACTCTGTAAGGCTCTATCTGTCCTGGATCTGAATCCACCCAAGTTCACACTAACAGCCTGGTTTAAAGAACACAAATTGATTCTATTATATTTGTATATGACTGGCTTAAACACAAAGTGCTCTTGACAAATTCTGGAAGGAAAATGCTAATATGCAGTGGAAACAGGGCAAAAGGGTGATGTATTCACCCATAGGAACAGAGATGGGAACAATGGAAGAGGTGGGATTTGGTTCAAGGAAAACATTAACAACCAGAGCTTAAAACCCTCACAAAACAGTCGTTAGGTAACAGCATGAAGCTGCTGCAAACAAAGCGTGCACTCCACACGGAAGCTTAGAAAAAGAGCACACATGGTGCACAATTATCCTCCTTCTCCTACAAGCACCCAAGTGGTGTATCATGCTCAGTTTTGTATGTCGGACTTCAAGAGAGATGCAGATCAGCCGAATACCTTCATGGTGAATGGTACAACACATCAGCGTTTGCGATGTCCTGGGCTGTTTGTGGAACACTAAGCAAAGAAGTGAGCTTTTGCAATGTAAAAACCGAGGAGAATACTCTTCTGATCCTTGGTATAATTGCTTGAAATCGCAGCAAAGCAGGTTCAGGTTACACACGAAAGAAAAGTTAGCTGCAAGTCAGAACAAACTGGCTGAAGAGGCTGGAGCGGTGCTGTCACTGGAGGCTTCTAGATGCGTTAGCCCAGCGCTTGTCAGGAATGACAGAGGTGCAGTGATTGTGCCTTGGGGCAGAGCTGTGCGGGAGCTGACCTCCTGAGGTCCCCTCTAGTCCTATTTCTCAGCATTGCACTTTTCCCTCCCACCCCACCTTCAGACTTCTGTTCCTCCCACAAGCTTCCCTTTATCTCCAGCTAGTCTCCTAAAAATAATTGCTAGCTGCCTATCCTATTGTATTATGCATGTGTAGGAAATGCTTTCTGCAAAAGGCAGTTCTGCAGTTGGATGAGATCAATCTAACCATGGGAAGGACGCTGCTCCCTGCTGTTTCTAGAGACACACTCTGGACACAGGAAGAGAGTTCTCACTGTTAGGATTTAGACCCTGTCACTTAGAAATATTTTAAACCATCAATATAAATTTGGGCCACAGCTGATAAATTTTATATAGGGGTCAGAAAAAAAGGAAGGTAGATGTATTGTTATTTTATGACACATGTTCTAAGCATATGCTGCAAGTGGGTACACTTCCCTGCTGCTCAAGGAGATTAAGCTGAAAGGGCACTCACTGGCTCGCTGTGAGCTTACCCGAGCGTTTGTTCTCCCGTATTGCTTAGAGGAAAGGGAACGGTGACCTAGGAGCGAGCAGCTGAACTCGGACTCGGAGCTCAAATGATGCAACAAGGCAGTAGAACCACATGCCCTCGACACCTCCAGCTCTCGGATTTCCTCCCGAAGTGGGGGGAACATCCCACGGCTCCCGGTCCGGCACAGCTCCTCCCGCGGTCCACGCAGCGCCGAGGAGGACGGACTAGAAAGGGAATTGCAAGCCCCGGTGTCCCTGAGCCGCGGCGATGCTCGTCTCCGGCCCGCGGCCCCGCATCTCTGCCGCCTCCGCGGGGCTCCATTGATCCGCGGAGATGCGCCGTCCCGACGGCACGAGGGAGCGCGGCGGGAACAGACGGGAGCTGTCCTGTCCCGCCCCGCCCCGATCCCGGCCGCAAGTGCTGGGGGAGCCACGCCACGCGATCCCCCGGCGGAGAGAAGCGCTGTACCACCGCGCCGCCCTCCCAGCTCTTTTTTTTTTTTAATATAGATGTATTTTAACTCTTGCTTAGCAAATTGCGCTTGATGAGCTCAC